AAACAAGTGACAGCCATCAGAATATTCCTAGGGCACAAAGCACTGCCAACACAAGAACAATGAGAAAAAAAATGGTCACTACAAGATTAGGGTCCAAATAAGCCTGGCTTCAGCTCTTGAGGTTAAAAATGAATTATCCACACATACAATCTTTTGATGAAATATTCAAATGTATTCATGTGATATAATCCATGACTATCCTTTCTTTTTCTTCTTTTTTTTTTTGACTAGTATCAGGGCATCATGCATGTGAGCTACACTCTACCAATTTAACTATGCCTCCAGTCCATCTTTTTGCCTGTTATTTTGGAGTCTAGCAAACTTTTCTGCCCCTGCAGCTTGAAACTGATCTTTTAGATCTCAGCCTCCTGAGTAACTAGGATTACAAGCATGAACCACAGATACACTAGCCATGATTAATTCTGGTGGCAAGAAAATTATGCTTTTGGGAGAATTTAATATATAATATTAAAAACCCTGAAAGAGACTAATATAGAATTTTGTCATTTCCTTTTAATAATGTATGCATAAATGAGAAAAAATGAAGAAATATAAAAAGTTATATAGAAGCTTGATTACCTGCTATGCCCAAAAGTAACCATAAATGAGAAAATAAATAAGGTATTATTTTCAAGGGTCAGTAAATGCTTTCCCTTTTTAAAGACTCAGTAACTTATTATTCACAGGAAGGCCTGCTTAATCTAAAGATTTCAGCTTCACATAAAAATAGCTTTCTGGTTCATTTAAGATTCTCTACTGACCACATTTTTTCATATTCAATCCAGGAAAAGATGTGTGGCTAGAAATATGGAGACTCAATGTGCTTCTATTTTCTTCCCCCACTAGGAAAAGAAGTTCAGAATAACCTGAGTACATCTTGAGTATTATGTCCACAGAGGCCAGAAAAGAACAGAATTTCCTTCCTTCCGATTCTTATTTGATCCTGATGGCTCTCTCTGCCTGTTTATTGTGGTTTTTATCCATTAGAATTTTTAATTAGTTCTCACTGAGGTAGTTTGGCCATGGATGAAGACTCGGGTTCTAGAATGGGAACATGTGCATGTGAATTCTGTCTTAATTTAGATATACATTATTGGTGATCTATGAAACCTGTCTTAGTCTCACTTTCTTTTCATTTGAAAAATGAAGCCTGGCACCAGTGGCTCATGCCTGTAATCCTAGCTTCTCAGGAGGCAAAAAAATCTAAGGATCATGGTTCAAAGACAGCCCAGGCAGAAAAGTCTCCATGAGACTCTTGTCTCCAATTAACCATTCAAAACTGGAAGTGGCACTGTGGTTCAAGTGGTAGAGCACTAGCCTTGAGCACAAACAGGCTCAGGGACAGCACCCAGGCTCTGAGGTCAAACCCCACAATGGACAAAAGAAAAAAAGAGTTCATTACAGACTCACTGAGAGGACTCTATGAAGATAATGTGAAAAAGTTGCTTAGAGAACAAATAATCGGAAGAAGGTTACTATGACTGCCATGGGGTTTTAGAGGTGACAGATCTGCTATTGACCATCTAGATCCTTAATATCTCAACCAAAATTAGACAGCATTAATTCCTAGGGCAGGAATTTATGCACTCTCTGAAACTCTAGCCTGAAAACATGATCTATGGAATTTTAAGCCTAATTACTAATAGTTTAATGATACTTGTAATTTAAGACTTAAAAATTGGGGGTCGTTCTTTGTGATACTGGAGTTTGAGTTCGGGGCCTCACATTTGATAGACAGGCACTCAACACTTGAGCCTCATTGCAATAGGATCTCATTTTGTGCCCAGGGCCATTGTGGACCATGATCCTCATACTTCTATTTCCCATATAGCTTGGATACATACTGGTTGTTTATACTGAAATGGAGTCTTACTAACATTTTGCCTGGGCCTGCCTCCGATTTCATTTATTGTGATCTCATCCTTTCAAGTACCAATGTTACAACTTCTTTATGGGTTATATAGGGGGTAGTATGTCTGTGGGAAGGTTATAAACTCTTAAGGACTGTAATCATCTTTCCACATTTCTTGGGATATCTTAATTGACTCAAGCCAAGGGCTCTCCAGCTACTTAGAGGATAGCATTTTATTTCTGTATTTAAGAGCCTCATCTTCAGGAATCTATTTCATTGGTGATAGTGAAAATTCTATACAAGTCAGGAATTGCATCTTGTAAAGTTCTCTTCTTCCTCAAGAGTTTGCTGACATTGACACATTAAGTAGAAATATTCTCAAGAATGGTAGGTAGTGAGCTTTTAGCCTTTAAGATTTTTCCTTGTTACATAGGCAGACTAATTTCTGAAACCTGTGAATATGACAGACTACATGGAAAAGTATGAATAAGTTTGCAGATGAACTAAAATGGCTAGTTGTGTGACTTTAAGATGATTTTTAGCTTATCTACTGGGCTAGGTAGAATCATCAGGACCCTTAAAGTAGGAGAGAGAGGAAGATGAGTCAGGAGATAGAGATGTGGTGATAGAAACAGGTACCATTCTTGGCTTCAGCAATGGAGGAAGGGAGTCACGCTAAGCAAGGAAGTTAAATTCTAGTAGCTGGAAAAGGAAGTTCTATGAGCCAAGGATTTTTGCCAAGAATACAACATAGATGATAACTTGATTCTAGTTCAATGACACTGCTGTGAAACAGATAACATATTGGGTTGTTGAAGCCCATAGTAAGTAGTTAATGATTGGCAAGTAATTATTTGATTAATTGCAGCAGTTATATCCCTCTGCTTAAATTGGGGTATTTTCCAGGAAAACAGCCACTTTCTAGCATGTAATTCTAAGTTAGACCATTGCTATAAAAACTTTAAGAATAAAACCTATTGCTAGTTCCATTTTGACTCATAGTTCAAATACCTTTGACCAAAGAAAGCACTTGGTTATTTGGTCAAAGGTATTTGAGCTTTATTTCCTTGGGATTACCAGATGAAGTCTGTAATAGAACTATTCGTAAAATGGGAGAATGAAGTACAGAAAAGGATGTCCATCTTCACGATGAGAATGGGGTGAAGCAATGAATAAATATCTACTGTGTGCCAAGTAAGAACTTTTATGAACATCAGTTACACCCTAGCAATAATTTCTGAATAAGTACTCATTTTCAAGATGAGAAAAATTGGTCCAAGGAACATAAGACACTAAATTTTTGAGCCAGGATTCTGACCCACACATCTAATTCTGAGCATGTGCACTTAACCATTGGCTTAGCCTGTTCAAATTTCTTATAATGAACTGTTTATGAGTTGTAGTGTAAATAAAGTAAATAAAGCTTGACATTATCATGACAAGAGGATTTCGCCGTAGAAGAATAACAAGCATTCTTTAAAAATATCTAGAAGCTAATCAACTGTGAAATCAGAAAGTCACAAATGTTTAAAAGTTAAGGAAACTTTCATATTAATGTAATTAACAAGTCTTTCTACATTTTTAGTTTGCATCCTTCAAGGAAAAACAACTCTGCTCAGGGAAATCATTCAATTATTCATGCCACTTCAAAATTTGTCAAAGCCATCCTCAACATTAGCAATAGTTTTTGTCTCATAGATCAGTAACACAATGGTAAGGCCATTCTTTGTAATATGTGCACTATTTATAAATATGGATGAGTGGGAACAAAGATGAGGGTAAACATCACATTTATTACATAAAAAAATGAAATCATCAAACATGGAGAAATCTAGACTCAATAGAGATTTATTTTTGTCAAGAAATAATATTAGCAATGAAATGCTCTAGATGAAGAGTAAATGATCCCTGGGCATTCAAGCACCACAATGACTCACACAATATTTCAAAAAATGAGGACTGTCAAATCAGAGTTATAGTCCTGATCCTAAAGACATTTTCTACTATATCTACAAGGAATTTTCAAACTAAAAAGAATCCAGTAATTCCAGTAAAATTGTTAGATGAAATGCAAAGTAAATAATTTTAAGAGCATCCTTTGTATGAATTTCAAAGTACAAAATAAAACTAAATGTTCATCAATGGAGAAATAATAAAACATGTACTCAATGTCATATAGCTGGTATCCAGTGAACACAGATCTATGGTTTCATCAGACAGATTGTAAAATTATGAAATTTTTGTTCAAAAGAAGCCAAAGCAGGAGAAAGAATATAGCCAAATACCACTTATGTAGATTAAAATATGTAAAATAAGATTCTACTGTTTAGAGACACATAGATAGAAAGTTAATATGCCAAGCAGTGGAATTTGATGTTTCTAAGTTAACCAAAATAAGATACTAGTGAAATGTGTACCAATGACTAGTACAAAAGTCTGAGGCAGGTGAGAGATTTTCATAACATTCTTTGCCATGTATTCATAGAGTTCTAGCTTATTGAACATTTAACTCATCAACTCAATAAATGTTTAAGAAAGTTCTTGGTCTATGTTAAACATTTTTTCCCTAAGTCCTGGGGAACATATTGATGCACCAAACCAGATATACTCTGCCTACATGGAATCTAATATTTTCATAGGGGATATAACATCAGAAACAAAACAAGGGTAAACTGGAAAGGCAAAAAATGTGTAGTGTCGTCAGTGACCTTAAGACCAATATAGAGTTTGAAGTTTAACTCTGTACGTGGTATATTGAACTTTAGGATTCTTACTTAATATTTATTATTTAAAAAAGAACAGAAATACTTTTAACTACTTTTTCCATCTTACTCATTGTTTATAGGAACCAAAGGAGGAAGATTTTGAAGATACTGGGATTTAAAATGCAATGTAGACTTCTTAACATTTATGCTCTCCTATACGTTAAGCAGGTATACCACCCCAAGACAGATTGTGGGAAGTGACAAACTTATATTTACCTCTCAGTCAAGTCAGATTTTCCAGGTACTCTCTCAGGATGTAAATGCAACTCTGTGTCACAATATCTTTCAGATGGGGCGGTCTACTTATAATATTTTGGAGAATGACAGGATACCAGTTCGACTCAGTACCAAGGAGAGGAGGAAGAAGGCCAGAGAGCACTTACTGGTAAGTGGTTGGGCTGACATTGATGCGCCGAGGGTGACTTCCTGACTCGAATTTGCTTGCCAGAGTCACATTATTTCCAAACAGGCAGTATCGTGGCATTCTCACCCCGACAACTCCAGCCAGCACGGAGCCCGAATGAATTCCTATCCTCATCTATAAAAGGAAAAGGTAAAGAACATGCTTGTTTCCATTTGGGATGCAATGGTTTCAATGGCAGGTACTTCTGTCATCAGATAATTGAGACCAGAGTTCCTCAAAGACAGAAACTGAGTCTCAGCCATTTTTGTGAGCATAATATCTAAACAATTATGGTGTTCAAGGACCATGAATGTTGTGAGATAAATAAGTGGATTGTTAGAAAATATATATATAGATATATACATGTTTAATTTTCTGCATAAATCTAGGTTAACTCAGTATCCATTCTTCCTCACATTGTCCCCAGTGATTCTCCTAGAGGGCTCCATTATTTCTCTCTCGCGCTTTAACACAGTTCTAAAGTTAAATATTTATAATTCTGCTTCTTTTGTATAATGTTGGATTTTTTTCATGAGAGAAGACTATTTACCTAGCATTTTACTGCAAAGAAGGCACTTGAAACACAGTCAGTGATGAATGTTGCATACATTGTTGGGAGTTCCCTGAACAGATTATTAAAATGAAGTTACAGCGAATTCAACCCTTGATTAGTCAAAGCACTGATTGAAACGATGATAAAGTAAATTAAGCATGGTATATTCTCTGAGAATCTAATAAAGATTAATCTGGCCTGTGCCTTGAAGGAGCCCTTGATATATAGTTGATATAAATTGAAGTGTGATAGAATAAGGTTTTGTTCATGTGGTCCACAGGGGACAATGTGGGAGACAAAACCCTTCATTCTAAAAGAATGCAAGGTAACAGAAGGGGGAGATCTGACCATACTTTTTACTGGTTGTGAGAATAAAAAGTCACTTAGACAACCCCTTGAATGTAGAATGGAAGAGTTCTGTGTATGTCAACCCACAGTTTGAAGTGAATGTGATGTCTGCTGCTCCCACTTCTCACTTGCTTTTAACAACTATCAGGAAAGAGCCAAAATAAATTAGAGAAAGAAGAAAAAATGAATATTCATCCTACCAGATATCAAGTCATAACACAAACATATTTGCCACATGAATGCAATTATGTAAGAACAGAGTAGAAATAGCTTAGAAAGGTTCACATGGAAATACAGGTGTGAGATATATGAATCTTTCACAAAGGGATAAAAAGGTGTCCTTTCTGAAGAAAAAAAAACATCCAAGTACATTAAAGATCTTACTGTAAAAGCACAACTTGGAAAAGAATTATGTTAATTAATGAAAGCTTAATCTAGAGCATTAGTAAAACCTCAAAATATAAACACATAAGCTAGGTGCTGATTGCTCATGCCTGTAATTGTATGTATCTCAGGAAGCTGAGATCTGAAGATCACAGTTCAAAACCAGCTGGGGCAGGAAAGTTCATGAGACTCTTTACCTGCAGTTAACCATCAGAAAAGTGGAAGTGAAACTGTAGCTCAAGCGGTAGAGCACTAGCTTTGAGAAAAAATGTTCAGGGGCAGTGCCCAGGGGCTGAGTTCAAGCCCTATCACTGTCCAAAACAAACAAAAAAAACCCATACAGTTTTCTAGGTAAGGGTCTCGATCATCAGAGTGCAGCTCTGTTTTCCTCTCTCAAGGACCATGTCCTTTTCATCCTGTTCTTCTATGTGTCTTGACATACATAGGAGGTGCCTCCTAGTTCAACTCAAGGAATGTGGGTACAGACATAGCAAGAGTCCGAGGCAGGGGTTATCAGGTTATTACATCAGATTTTCATTTTTTCTTGCCCATCTAGACAACCACCTGGTATCATGTCCTTTCTGCCTGAAGGTTTCTTTAATATTTTCTATGCAGTAAATTCACAGAATTCCTTCAGCTTTCTAATGTTTCAAAAATGTTTACTTCACCTTTGTATTTGAAAGATACTTTAACTGGGTATAGAATTCCAGATTGACATGTTTTCCCCACACCCTCTCTAAAGTACTACTTTTAAAATGTTCCATTGTTCTTCCCTCACATTCTGATGAGAAATCTGCTTCCCTATGTGTAATGTATCTTTCTCTTATGCTGCTTTTCAGTGTTTATCATTAGTATCAAGTAAATGGCCATTACTTCTCTTGCTTTTTTTTTTTTTGTTGTTGTTTGTTTTCTGTGCTTTGAGTTTCTTGTGCTCTCCAATCTGGCTTTAAATAGGCTTAGAAGTTTTCTAGACAAGAAAAAAATGTATTTCTTTTTCTGCTTATTTCTCTTTGTTTACATGCATGTTAGAATGCTCAGATTCTTTCCAAAGAACACTGATTATCTGTTCACTGAAAATTATCTTTTCTTTTGGATGTCTATTGCCATATCTCCAGACTGACTAATCTTTCTTTTGCGACATCTACTCTCTTGTTAATCATGTCCAGTGTATTTATCTCAGATATTATCATTTTTCTTGCAAGAAGTTAAATTTGGGGTGATTCATTTGTCTTCCAGGAATAATTCAAATTTTGAACATATGGAACACGATAAGAACAACTGTTTCAGTTCTCTTTTTTGTCTTCTCATTCTAACATCTGTTTCAGGCCTGTGTCTGTCAGTTCTGATGGATTGACTTGTCTCTTCATTATGAGTCATGCTTTTAGCTTTTCTTCATGCTTGGTAATTCTTGACTAGAGGCCAAATATCATCAATTTGACCTTGTTGAGTTGAATATTTTTTGTTAATGTTCTTGCGTTGTATTAGGGGATGCAGTCAAGTTACTTAGAATCAGTTTGTTCCTTTCAACTCCTGCTTTTAAATTCCATTCGACAAGTCTGGAGCAATGTCTCATGAAGGGCTAATTATCCTCCATTACCCAGACAAGAGCCCTCTGGGTATTCTCTGCAATTTAGAAGAGTTTTGACTGCCTGATGGAGACAGGTATTTTTCCCCAAGTCCTATGTGAGAGTCTGGTAGTCATCCTTTCACATGCCTTGTCCCCTCCCCCTGGGACTCAGGTAGTTTCTTTACTCTTGGTCATCAATCAGTGTTCTGTGGAATATATGGAAAGGGCCTTGGAAGCTCTGTCTGTTGGTACATAATGCTACTCAGATACTTGGCTCCTTGTCATCTTCAACTCTAGAACTGTGTGATTCTGGCTTCACTGTCCCCTAAGCTCCAGGCTACAGGTCTCTCGAGGTAAGAAGCAAGAACAATCATAGGGATTACCTTATTGGTTTCCCAGTCACAAGGGCCACTGACTTCCATTGCCTAGCATCCACAGTCATGCAAACTGTTCTTTTTGTATATTTTGTCCAACTTTAAAAAAAAAGCTCTAAGGTGGAAGCATAAATCCAGACCCTGTACTTCCATATTGGCTGGAAGCAGAGGTGATAGAATTTGTAAGAGAGCAAACTATCTGAAAAATGAAGCCTATTCTGATGAGAGTTTATGTATTTGGATGTAAGGGGGGAAGTGTTGAATGGCAAAGCTTCTTTTAAACCAGACTGTGAAAATGCCTTTCTCTAAAATTAGTAACACATTCTGTAATGGCATTGTGTTTCTTTAACCTTGTATTTTTACCTTCTGTAACACAGGATTGCTGAAATATCACTCAGCCCTGAGACTCTATGATGACTGTCAGTGTGGGCCAGTGATCCACTACTGTGATGGTTGAAAGCAGAAGAGCAGGCAGGAATCTCACATTGACAATTTTCCCAGTTTCTCTATTTTGTGCTTTCTGAGGGAGGAAAAGACCCCAGCACCAACTATGCAGAAGGCTGCTTCTACCTCTGATTCCTCTCAAATGACCAGAGGCTTTGAAATAAAAGTTATCAGAATGTGAATTGCCATAATCTGGAAAGGGTGAGTATAAAGACCCTGATATTCTTGGATTTGGGGGAGGGAAGAAAGAAGTCGTTAACAACAATCCCTTAGAAATCCATCTAAAAAGTGCTTGAGTATCAACAACCACAACAAAAACAAAAACAAAAGCATGGATGATCCCCTGTCTGTATCTTACAATAGAAAAGGATTGAGAGAAACATGTCGTCTGAGAAGAATCTACCATAGGAAACTTATAAGCTGAATCATCAGATTCCATTTTCTTTTACATTTCTTCTGACAACTCATTGAGATTTCCCAGGAATTGTGTGGCCTATATGAGGAACTTACTGATTGCCCCATTCAGAATGTGCCAAGAGTATTCAGCAGTTAGACAAAATAGAGGGCCACATTTAACTATCACTGAGGGGTTTTGATTCAGCTTAGCAAAATTTAACTTTATTTAAAGGGATTAGCCACGCAGTAACTTCTACCCTCATACTTTAGGTAAACTAGTGGCCTCACGTACAGCTGTTTGTGCCTTCAGTGGACAATTGACAATGCCCTGAGGTCTGCATACATTGTTTTTCACAGCTGGAAAGTGGTTGTTGCTATACACAGCTATTCCTGCCCCAAACATCACCAATGATATTAATGATAATAATGAACACACTTCTGCCAACCTACAAATACTTACCAAACAAGCATAAACAATAATCACACCAAAGTTTTGAGAAATCATAGAAGGTTATAGGACAAACATAGGCATAGTGTTTGCTCTATAAAAGAAAATGTTAGCAGCCCTTAGCACTCTGATTTCCTTTAAGCAATTCACTTAGTCCTATTATCATTTCTTCAGGTTCTGCGGGATACTGCCAAGGGCAAGAGTAGGAGCAGACTGGCCAAGGTACGTTAGTAATTTTCTTAATTTAAGAAAAGTCAAGCCCATGTAAGTCAATGAAAGAGGGATTTGCAGGGAACTATAAGAAACCTTTCTTTCCTTTGAGCATGTGTTTATGAACAATAGACAGTGTTGAAGTGAACAGCTAGAGCCAAATCACAGTGACTAGAAACACAGGAGCTAGATATGTGTGGGACCAATTTTAGGAAGTCGATGCCGGACAGGCAAACCAATTTAACAACTATATAGCTAGCCATCACTGGTCTTCTGTTATTTGGATGATTATATTCTCTGATTAAAGAACCTTGTTTGTTCTATCACTGGTAAAAGTGACCTATTAGCTAGCTAATGAAGTTAGTTTCACAGCAAACACTCCAAAGCAGACCTACCTGTGCTGGTGGTTCA